CCGGACGCTATTTTTAGAACAAAAAGGAGGACATGTCCGGGTAAATCCGGACGAATGGTAACCCTCGATAAGAATATCATGCAAGACCGTATCAAATGTCTTACTAAAGTCTAGGTATACCACATCCACAGCTTCACCCTTATCCACAAGACTCATTATCCTATTCACCTGCACTTGTGGTTTCCCTTTGTTTGATCCCCCCTTCACGGCACGCATCCTCCCCACTCATATGCCCCCCACTCCCAGTGCAGCCTGGGGAGCTGATTTTTCTCCCACAGTGCTGCTTGTAATCCCCCGCCTCCGTTCACTGGTTTTGGTTACCCTTCCATTTTATAAGGTGGAGTCCTAGTACCCAAACCCCACGAAAGCTTATGCCCAAATAAATTTGTTAGTCTCTAAGGTGCCACAAGGACTCCTTTTTTTTTTTTTGCTGATACAGATTAACACGGCTACCCCTCTGAAACCTGTTTTCACCTTTCCGTAGTGGTCCTTTTTAAAGCACCAAGTACATACAGATACAGTAGAACATTGTCTAAGCCTCCATTGTCTGCTCTCCCTGTTAACCGAAATGGGTGGCCCAAGCCCTACCTGTTCTCCGGACTATCTGAATTTTTGATTGTCGGATCTGGCCCTGGTCCCAGTTAGATTGGATAATCGGAGTTCTACTCTATATTGTCTGAACTTTATTCTGTTTGCACATTATAAATGTGATCAAGTCATGATCATCACTTAGATATGTTACCATTCATTTTTAGTTCTGTGATCAGTTCCTCTTTATCTGTCAAGGTGCGGTCTAATATAGAATGCAATGTGTTTTGAAGGAGGAAATTGCCATCTATAATATTTAGAAATCCCAGGATATTTTAGTATGGGGAGTATGAGACCTCCAGCACGTCACTCAAAATGAAGTCCCCCATGATCACTCAGTTTTTTCCCCCCTACACATTATAGATAGGTGAAAAAGGAGGTGGTCAACCTCTTCCCTAGTGTGATCTGGTGGGGATTAGTTGGTGTCTGCCTCAGCCCATCTTATGCTTTATCTGTTAGGACATTAATCCATATGCATTCTGGATCATATTATTCCAAGTTATCAGTCTCTCAAATAGGTAATACCATTTTTGACAGAGTGTAACTCCCCTCCCCTTCTGCTCACTTACTCCTTCCTAAATAGATCATAAAAATTGATTTTAACATTCCCATCATAGAACTCATCCCACCAGATATTAGTAATACCAACTAGGTCAAATTTAGAAATCCACATTCCTTTTCTTTGTTACCTAGAGTCCTAGGATCAGTGTACAGTATAAGCAATTAAACAATTTCTTGTCTGCATGTTGTTTGATTGCTGATTAATTTTGTTCTCAACATCTCAATTTTGTTATGCGCTCATATCATCACTTTTTTTACCATCCCCTTTTGTTTTAGTTTAACATGCTCCTGACTACGCTAGCCAGCCTGTCTCTGAGAAGATTGGTCACCCTTCTACTGAGGTGGAGGTCGATCCTGTCCCATCCCCCTAGATGAACCAATGTTCCACAAAACTAAACCCCTCCACCTTACACCACTTACCTAACCAGCAGTTCATTTCAAGAATCTTCTATCTTCCTTTATTCCCCTTCTTCCACCAGTTCTGGGGGCCCCCCACTCTTCAGTCCCTGGGGAGTATGCTCAAGTGGCCACAGCCCCATTGCTGTCTGCCATGCCCCCCTCAGTCCACCTCTGCCACCTTCTTCTCCATCTACGGTGGCCAGGGCCCCTGCCCAACCCTGACCAAGAGGCACAGTGTCTGCTGCCTCTTGGTGGCCACCTCACCCCACACTAACTTATATGCAGGCATTAGCAGGGTGGTGGGGCCCTTGGCCAGAGTTGTAGCCTCCAAGACATAGGGGAAAGTCATTTTCTTCCTAGCATCAGAGGCCACTGCCCAGGAGGTGATGGAGAAGGGTGTCTCAGTTGCGGGGCCCTCTTCATCCCCCTTGAGCCTTTGGATGGTTATCTCTAAACTGCCCTTCCTCCCCAGTGCTACCTCCTACTTCTCCTGTCTACCCTCAGGAAATTAATCTTCCCTTTCCACTCTTTCCCATTGGGCTTCAAGGACCCCACCCGTCCATCATGTGTTTTTATTCCACTGGCAAGTTACGCCCCAGCTGCCACCAGCAGTGCATGATGGAGGTAGCCTGAAGGGATAACAACATTCCTGGGTTCTATCCAGACCGGTGAGGAGCTATGTCACCACTTACCTTGCAACTTGGGATGCCTTACTATACTTTGCTACTGTAGCTCCCAAACTGGGCTCCTCACAAAAAGCATGCAGGTCCCACCCTGAGTGTCTGCATATAGCCACAGCCCTGGTTCAGCAGCTCTGACCCCAACAGCCTGTTAGCTAACTCCAGCCACATGCAGGCTTCCAGCAGCCTTAGTTACTACTTTCAGGGTGATCCCAACACATTCCCAGTCCCAGATTTCCCAATATGTGTTCTGCACTGTCCCATCTTCTCCTGGACAGTCCAGATAGATGGGGTCCATAACCCCTCTAAGGGGCTATGAGCATAGTCTGCTAAAAGGAGATACCCAAACAATTCACGAACCCTGGATTAGTTTTAATTAAGGAATAAAACAAGTTTAAATCCATCTCTTCGTAGTTATATTGAGTGAGTACAAGTAGCAAGGCATTAAAGTCAGAAATGGTTACAAGAAAAAACAGAGGACTCTTTCTAAACTTAAACTAGACTTTGTTTAAAGTGAAGTTCTCGCCACAGGTTTTCAGTAATATTGCTGACCAAATTCTCAGACCAGTATCTGCTCCCAAAGTTCAATGGCTGTTTCTTTTGCTGTCTTAAGTGAAGAGAGAGATGGATAGGGAAAGAGAACCTGGGATGTTTCTGCCCCTCACTTTTATAGTTTGGTCCCCTTTGAAATGTATTTTCTTGAGGGTTACCCCTAAAGTTCATTCCTGCTGTTAGGACAGAGACAAGGAGTCTCATGAAAGAGGCTTCAGGCTGTTTGCTGAAATGCAGATTTACCTTGTCTCCCTCTTACTGTTTCAAGGACCTTGTTTACCCCATATGTACACTGAGGTAAACAAATTCATTTGTTTAAGACCTGCTTGATCAGTTCTGCCTAATCGGGGATGCATGTGCTTAAACATTTGCCG